TTCCCCTCAATTTTATTCAGTATTATATGGGAAGTGTGGACCACAGAAAAAAAGCAAGATGCACAAGAAAATCCATACGCACTGGGAAGTAAGAAATAAAACTATATTTGCATATGATATGGTCTCAAATAGAAAAATCGCAAGGAATCCACTAAAATTTATTAGAACTCATCAAGGCTTTCAGCAAGGAGGTATAATAAGAGCAACTCAAAACCTTAATTGTAATTTTATATAACTTGAAAAAGCAGTACAAAAACGAAATTGAAATAAGTAAAAGAATTATACTGATATGATTTCAAATAAAGAAAAATTTACAAATAAATTCAACCAAAAAAATAAATACAAGGTGAATTAAGATGTATTGTCATGTAGTAGTTTTCTCTGAGATAAAAACTTTCCATCCTGGAGGGGAACTACTTAAAATGGGATGTTTACAGGGAGATGAAGTAATAGGATGCTCTAAGGCAGTGATCCTCAGCCTTCCTGACTCTGAGACCCTTTAGTGGAGTTCCTCACATTGTGGTTGACTCCCAACCATAAAATTATTCTCGTATCTACTTCATAACTATAATTTGGCTACTGTTGTGAATTGTAATGTAAATATCTGATATGCAGGGTATCTGATATGAGACCACTGTGAAAGGGTCTTTTGACCCCCAAAGGGGTTAGAACTCATGGCGGGGGGGGGGGGTAAGGGGTGAGAACCACTATTCTAAGGAGATGTGAAATACAACAGGGAAATTTCTTAAGACATGAAATAAACAATTCTAAACAGCTTCAGGGAGTCCCTAAAACTGACGAGATTTACTAGGATCTGCCCCTAAAAAATAGATAAACAGTAAAGACTCTGAGATTCACTCTCAGACAAGCCCAGATGCTTGGAAGAAGCAGAGAGTTGCTGAACTATCCCCAAAGAAACAAAGACCAAATGAGGCGCCTGTGAGAGTTCCACACCAACTGAGCCACCTGGAAAGGACACTTTCTAACCTGCTGAGCTGCCTGAAAGCTGTGCAGTGTGCTCCAGGTTCCCAATTTGTATGAACTGTCACCCCTGCTGGGGTAAGCTTCAATGATGCAGCTGTCTTTGAGTCATTTCTGCTCCTATAAGTAACACCTCGCCCATATTTCTGTAAGTAGCCCCAATAAAATTCACTAGTTCACCAAGTTGGACTTTGATGGTATCTTATTTTGTTCTGTCATCTGTTCCTTATCTGAGTAGGTGTATGTTCATGTCATCCCAGGAAACACATGTGACACACACACAAGCTATTATTGAAAAGAAATAAAAAAATATTGAAATAAGTAGAAAGACGCTATTGATGGATTCCAGAAATTAGCATTATTAAGACAGTAATATCCCCTGAATATCTCTATGGACACAAGGCAAATTCTGTCACCACACACATGACTTTGAGCAGAAATAGACAAAAGAATCTTAAAATTCATATGATTTGGAGGGAGCTCAATTTCCAAAAGATATCTTAAAATAATGGTATTAGATGAGTCAAGCTTCCAAAGTTGGATATCAGCTACACATCTACAGCAACAAAGATGACACAGCATTGGTTTAAGGAAAAGAGTACAGCTGAACGGAATAAAATTCAAAGTCTAGAAATACAACTTAAAATTCTTTACTGATGAGCAGACCAGGATAAGCCAGTGAAGAAAGGGCATCTTCATCAGCAAATGGTGGGCATATAAGTAGATGTCAATCAAAAAAATGGACCCCTACCCTAAACTATGCACAAAATTTAAGCAAAATATATAAATAACCACAAATAGGAAAACTATTAAGCTTTTAAAGGAGTACACAGGAGTAATTCCCATGAAGTTGACAAGTGCGTTCTTACATATGACATCAAAAGTATCAGCAAATGGAGAAAAAAGTAGACAAGTCAGAATACCAAAATTAAGATATTTTGCTCTTTACTCCATAAAGGGACCAGACAGAAAACTCACAGGATTGGAGAGATTTTTGTAAATACTTGATAGAGGATTTATAGCCAGAATACATAAAGGATATTTTTAACTTATACTAGGTACAGTCTGTTATTTTGGATAGGCAAAGGCTTTGAGTAGACATTCCTTCAGAGAAAATATGTAAATGGGAAGCAAGGTCATGAGAAGACACTCAGCATCCTTAGTTATTAATGAGATGTCATTTCCTGCCTACTTCCATGTCCGAAATCTCAATGATTGACAACAATGGTTGACAAGGAAGAGGAGGAACAGCTAAAGAACTGTGAAATGGGGTAGCTGCTGCTGGAAGCTGTTTGGCAGATCCTCTAGGTGATATTAGTAACAGGTATTATATGACCTAGCCATTCCAGTCCTAGGTGATACTCAAGAGAATTGACAATGTGTGTCAGCTGGAGACTTATACGCAATGTTCATGGCAGCAATCTATGAATAGCCAAAGAAACAAGACCACTGACTGATGAATTAAGAAAATGTGATAGGGCTATATAATATGATGCTACTTTCCCAAGGCAAAAGGAAAGCACCATAGAAGAACTTGGGTGAAGTCAGTGAGTAGACTCAGTGAAGGAAAAAGACCCAAAGGGCCACATAATGGGGGAGTGACTATAGCAGGAAGATTTGTATTGATTAATTGGTGGTGATCAGAGACCAAAGGGACACAGAGACAGGAGTGAAGAAATTGGGTGACTTTGGAAGATGGTTAAATGTCCTAAAACTAAGTGGTGGTGATACCTGCACAGTAGCGCCAGGACACTCAAAATTACTAAAATGTATTTCAGTATAGAAACTGTGTTTCATTAAAATGGACACTTTGAAAAGAAGAGAAAATAAAAGCAGAGGCTCTGACCTTATGGAACAATTCCTTAAAGTGAGAGTTTCTGGTTGTGTCATGGGATGGAGACTCATGTGGTATTTTGCTGAGGCAATTAACTCTGTTGGAGATTATCTTTTAAACCAAACTGAACATTAGTTTTGGTGTTTTAAGAAACACACATATTTGAAACAAAAGCCTGTTTCTAAATTATTCCCCTAGCAAATCATATTTGCCAACAAACACAGAAAGGGAAAAAATCTGTATAATGTGAGCATATATAGCCATGAGAGGTCAGAAGAAATATTAAAGAAAAGCACAAGACCAGCCAAATGTATTTTAAAATTGAAGGTAAAAGCTATTCAGTATTACAACACAAAATAAAACAGGAACAGAGGTCCAAACATAGAAAACAGGTTCAAAGATTATGTTATATTCATGTGAAGACTTTATCTCATAAATTATATGAGATTAATTTTAAAATCCTTCATCATAATAAACAGAATATTGTACTTAATTGACTTATAAGTTTTAAAGGAATTCATTTATTAATATAATATAGTCTCAAGTATCCATACTTAAATACATTTCTATCCATAGAAATCTTTAAATGTATATATATTCTCATATAATATTCATAAATAATTTTCCTGATATATATGTATGAGTATACTTTATTATAGAAAACTATGGATTTATATTTACACAATGTAGCATAAAGTAATTTATGTTTGTTAATAAAATGTTAATAGAAGGAATAACATTGTGAATAATCATTCTTTTATTATCAAAGGTAGGATGACTGACGATCTAATATATTGGAAGCTAGGGCAATGACATTGGCCTTTTATATGGCCACTTCAGTAAACATTTGGACATTTCTTAGAAAGCAGAACATCAATCTGTCATATGATGTAGTTATTTCACTTTTAGGGGGCTGAAGTAAAAAATGAAAGCATGTGAACCCATAAAGTTTTGTATACCAGTGTTCATAGCAGCTTTAACATGTACTGGCCCAAAACAGAAATAACTAAATTGTTTATCGGCAAATGATAGGTGAAATAAATACAGTATAGCCACAAAATGGAACAGTATCCAGCCATAAAATGAAAATGCACGGATGAGTCTCCCAAATATTGCTAAATAATAGAAGTCAGACACTAGAGACCATATGTTGTGGACTTAACTATATGCAAAAGGTTTGCAAATAGATTGTAAACATACCCATGTATGATGCATCTGAGTATATGCTATGTTATGATGATGCCTTTGCAACCAAGAAAACTATCTAAAAATCATTGAGCCATGTACTCTAATGGTGAATTTGACATATGTAAATTGGTAAGACTGGATATGTTTTTTCCATGCTAAAACTTTTGTTGAGACTTGTTCTCCAAAGTAATGATGCTGAGAAGCAGTGGGTCCCTTAAAAGGAATCTAGAGTGATGGGTCTATGCCCTCTTAAACTCATGTGACTCCTGTGTAGACATAGAATTTATCACAAGAGCATTTTGTTGTAGAGCACTTTGGTTCTTCAGTTCATTCTCTTGTTGGCTTTCTGTTTTTTTTTTTTTTTAACCTCTCTTCTGTATATAACTGCTGTGTTGGTTAGTGTTCATTGGAAACACAACACTATCACCTGGGAAGGGAGTCTCAGTGAGGGGTTGTCTAGATTAGGCTGTGGGCATATCTGTGGGAGATTGTCTTTATCATCTTGAGGTAGGAAGACTTGCCCAGCAAGGGTAGTACCAATCCCCAGTAGAGGAACCTGAACAACAGTGTAAGAGTGGAGAAAGTAAGCTGAGCACTGGTAAGTATGCATGCATGAATTCATATTGCTCTGTGCTCTTGACTGTGAGTATACTAGCGGCTTTCATTTGGACTGTCTTTAATTCTCCACAATGTTGCGCAGTAGCCTGAAACTGTGAGCCTAAACCCTTTCTCCCTGAAGTTCCTTTGGTCAGAGTATTTTACAGCGGCAACAAGAAATAAAACTGAAACACTCATAGAGCAGTCTACCTTCATGTCATGTGCAGTAGCACAGGGCTTCTTCCTGAAGCAGAGTGGATGCTGGTAGTATGTTCTAAGAATTACAGAAGTCCAAGCCAAAAAAAAAAAAAAAACCCTCTTTTTTCATAAATCAACCAGTCCAGGGTATTTTGTATAAGCTACAGAATATAGACTAAAATATTTTTAAAAAACACACTATGTGCTTGCTTTGGCAGCACATATACTAAAATTGGAATGATACAGAGAAGATTAGCATGGCTCCTGCACAAGGATGGCTTGCAAATTTGTAAAGTATTCCATATTTCTCAAGGAAATGGACTGCTGGCAGGAATCTGACATTAGGCTAGAACATAGAAGTAATTTCAGGTAGGACTCTAAATCTTAGGCTAGAACAAAGAAGTAGGCTTCAGGCATGAAAATTACTTTGGGCTAGGACAGGGAAGTAGGCTCAGATATTCTGGACATCCTGATAAGCCCTTAGAAATAGTGATCATGGGAGTGATCATGGGACTCTGTTTATTGTCCTGCTTGTTCTTTGACTATCTGGGTTTATTGTCTTGCTTGTTACTTGACTATTTGCCTCTACTGTATTGATAGTTCCTCAACCTAGACCTGACCGGCATAAAAGCAAAAAAAAAAAAAAAAAAAAGGGGGGGGGGGGGGGGGGAAAGGGGGTTAAGGGGGGGGGGGAAGAGGATAATATCTGAAATGTAAATAAATAAAATATCAAATAAAAACTAACAGCAGCAACAACAACAAAAAAACACACTATAATGAAGTTTTGAAAACTGCTTGAGAGTTGAACTTTAAGCCAAGTTAGAGTTAGACCCAGGCAGAATTACACATCCAGAAGATAGGTGCCAAAGCAACAACTTGTAGCTATAGTTTGATTGAAGGGCTATCTACACAGAGCATGCACCACTGGAGCATGGAGTGGTCAGTCAGAGGTAGAGAGATCAGTCCATGTAGATAGAGAGGAGATTTATCCTCAGCTTTACTAGGGTATTATTTCCAGTACACCTATAAAGAGTAAGATAGAGGTAAGAGAGTAGTAGTGCTGAAACCATATCTGAGTTACAAGCTACATGATTGACACCTTATGTACTGATGCCAATCACCTAGTCAAGAACACAGACATCTGCCAAGCTCTTCCAGGAAGTCTTACTACAAAGTTATGATACATTGACTGGCCAAGGCAAGTCCCCTCCAGATGAAAGCCAGAGTCATTCCAAGGCAAATCATTTATACAATTCACCTCTGTATAAGTCAGGCTTCTGGGGCTATTGGCAAAGAGATTAAATTGTAGAAATAGATAAATTCCCTATGCTACATATCTGCCCCAAAGCTTAGACCACGTACTTAGAGAGCATATCTTCTTGTTGCTATCTCCCACCCCAACCCCTTGATATGTTTTTCTGACTCTTGCACAGCCAAAGACACGAAACCATCTTAGTTAAGAGTTTGGACTCTGCATTCACACTGTTTATGATGCATGTGGCTTTGGCAAATTAGCTAACCACTCCCAGTTCTGTTGTTTCCATATACAAAAGACCTATGTAGACAGTACCAATCTCCTGTGACACTTAAGAGTATCAAACATAGAAATAGGGCAAACACTCATAGAAAACACTATCAGCCATTGCTGTTCTTTGACTGGAAATCTCTTTTGTTTTTCTGGATTTTTAATCCATTTTCTTATTCAAAACAAATACCACTTCAGTGCAGCATCAAAAAAGTTATTTAAAAAATGAGAAACGAATTTGATCTCAGTTTAACCAAGATAGGGATAAGAAAGACAAAGGGGAGGAAGGAAGAGAAAGGAAAGAAGCCTCTAAGATGACACGTACATTCTTCAAAAGACACAATGTCTAGAGTCAAGCCTTTCCTTGGTTATATAAGCCATCCTGTGGCAGTGTCAAAACTCTCTTTCATGGACGTACTGTCTAAGCATCACTTCATTTTCACGGGAAAAATTCATGAGTTTCCCTGCTCATTGTAGGAACAGTCAGGGGAAGGATGTGAGATGGGAAGATCCAAGGAGGAAAGTGAGCATTTTGGAGAGGATCTGATAGCCCCCTATCAACCCTTGACCTTGTATAGGGAGGTAACCCTTAGTCAAGGTTTAACCAAGTTTCTGCAAAATACATGTGCTGGACATGACAGCAGAACACATCAAAATTTCCTTATGATTGGGACAGGAGCATCTATGTTGCTTGTTGGTTACAGAGTCAGCCACTACCATCCTTACATCGGCATTGATTTGGTGGTGGAGACTACAAAGGGTCATTGACATGGAAGGAAGTATGTGTTTGGGGGGGAAGGAAGACACCTGCTAGAGTCTGAGATAATCGGCTTTCTGGCAGGGAGCCACACCCTAAAGCCCACTTTCTAACAAAGCTGTTTAAGAGACTTAGCAGAAGAACAAGCTGGGTTGAGTAAGGCATTTTTTGCTTTGCTCACCACCTGGAAAGGGAGCAAGCTCTTCTATTTACTTCCCTTCTCTGTCCTTCTTTCTTTCTGTTCTCTCCCCAGCCACCCTCTTCAATTTCATGTTAATTCAGAGAGTCAAAGGGGACTGAAAAGTAATCTTTGCTTCTGCCACACAAGTGACAACTCTGAAGGGACCATAGCTCCCACGGAGGCACATGCTTTAGGGCCTGGAAACAAAGGAAAGTGTTCTCAGGAACACTCAGAGGTTAGGTCATGCAGATAGAGCAATGTGATTAAATCTTGATGGATTTTTTGTTTTAAGTCTTGTTTGCCTGGTTACAAAGAGTGCCGTCGGCAATCCCTACTTAATCAGAATCTTGATGAGCATATTGTCCCTCCCAGGACTAAGACACCAAGGAAGAGTCTGTTTGCAGCTTCCTTCTAGCCCATTCCCCATGGTTGCCCCATTCCTGTCACTTCATGGAGGCCTGCTCTGGGAAATAGCTTTTTCATTATTCTACCAGTTTTATGAGAATCCTGATTTCAATTTGAAAGTTATAAAAATAAAGACCCTAGCCCCACCCAGCCCCAGAGGGCAACAGGGAGAGTTGATAATTGTTAAATTTATTCCATAACTTTATGGAGGATCTATCATTCTTCTATTAATAATTTAATCATCTTTTTCTACTTTTTAGATAGAAAAACAATGATCCCCAAATTGAAGCAATTTGCCCAAGGTTATTTGATTGGTTTACAGGTTCCAAGCAGATTCCCAGTTTTCAGAACTGGAGGTACATGCAATGAGATAGTCTGAAGTGAGGACATGTTTGCTGGACGCTTCGTCTGGATCTTGAGACTCCAGGTATTGATGATAGTGGCATGAAGAGGGGTATCTGTTATATTACTGATGATATCTATCATCATGGTCCAAAGTAGTAGAGAAGAGCTGATAGCCCAGGACTGAACAGCACAGAGCTCCCAAAGACAAATCAAATGGTGGAAGCCATGGTGATATGACGTTAGCTTCAGAGATGCTTCGGTGATAGAAAGAAAGAGAACAGAAGATCAGAGCAATGGTATCTCCCAATTTAATGTAAGCAAGCAGACAGGATGATGAAAAGAAAAATCAAAAAAACTGGATTTTAGATAAGCAAAGAAATATATACCTGCAATCTCAGCACTTTGGAGACTGGAGCTAGAGGGTAATGAGTTCAAAGTCTGCCTGGGTACATATAGGGCTCAGTAAAATGAGCACCAAAAAATACCCTTGAAATTTGGTTCTAAGACCAATTTACAGAACAATCGACTCCTTCTCTTAATTTCTCTGGCCTTTGGTCTTATGTTCACTTAATCATTCCCAAATAAACCTGTTCTATTGTTTGTATAGGATAAGAATCAAATGCTCTCTGGCTAACAAGATGGATCTAGGTAAAGGTTATGGGGTGTTCACTATATAGAAAATAGTGGCAAAGACAAATGTGTTTCTAAAATGACCCACACTGCAGGCTGTGAACTCTGCAGTCTACCCCCACCCAATCTTTATAAATATCATAGAAAACAGATATTAGCATTACTGTATGTAAAAATATAGGAAACAGAGGCTCAGGGAAATTAAGATGCTTGCCTCAGAGTCACATAACTAACAAGTGACAGCCTACGATTCAAAGCAAAATGTGTCCTAACTACAGAACTCAAATGAGTCAACTGCACAAGGCTAAATCCACCAGAGTAATTTAAGCCAGCCCAACACCACTGACATGATATGAACAGTGGTGATATGAAAAACATCCAGTGGGAATGTATGTGTGTAAAAGGAACAGGACTGATCCCCTATACAAACATCTTTAACCCTATCAGTGTGACCTTGACACTGATGGGAGGAAGTCCTCCCATCAGGCAGGAGCCTGCAGACAAGAAGAGAAGTGTGGAAGGGCCTGGAGGAGGTGGGCCTTGGGCCAGACACAGCCCCCAAAAGGCTGAACACACCACAAATCAGTGGAAGCCTCCCTCTGCTTGAGTTCATTCCAAACAAATCCATTAAAAGCACCATCTTAATGAATATTTTATACAGTTATGACATAGTGAGTTCCATTTAAAAAGGACTCTCGGCAAAGGCTGAGACAATGAACTACTAAAATAGCCCACTAATCATCCAGGCCAACAGAAATCTGGTCAAGGGATATAACAATTCTACACACAGAAGAAGAAAAAAAATGAAAGCCATATATTCCCTTCCTGCTGGTGTACACTGTTTTTATAAGGCTCTATATACCATGTTCAAATACTTCTAGTCCATCAGCAAAAGACACTTGTTTGAATAATTAATTTGTTTTTCCCTGGCCCTTTATGGGCTTCAGAAACTGGTCAGTGTACATATCTGTATTTTTCTTAAATCAGACTCTACTATTGAGCTCTCAGTGAATAAACATACATACAAACACAGTTTCTATCACAGTGGTTCTCAACCTCCCTAATGCTGCAACTCTTTAATACCTTCATGCTGTAGTGACCCCCCCCACCATAAGATTATTTTTGTTGTTACTTCCTAACTGTAATTTTGCTACAGTTATGAATTATAATGTAAATATTTGATATGTAGGAAATTTGATGTGGGACCCCTGATGATGTGAAAGGGTCATTTGGCACCCCAGAAGGGGTCATACCCCACAGATTGAGAACTACTAAAGTCTAGCAAATCTTAACTAACTTCTTTGCCTATAAATAGATCATAAATAAAGCATGGACAGAATTCCAAAGGATAAGCTCAATTGTGTTCCCTATACTATGCCATTTCTTCAATTCTTACCTCTCTCCCAGGAATATACTGTGAAATTCAAGGATTTGGGAGGAGAAAGGGGGTAGTTAAGGCTTCAATA